TATATATATATATGTTTATTTATTTATTTATATTCATGTATCAGAACATATATCATGTATATAGGTAATATCAGGAGTGACAATATTATGTCACTGCTGGAAATATGTATATAATAGGGTTAATTTCAGTGATGTCATCCAGAGAAGTCAACCATGGTAGTGGCTGGTAAGGGGTTGAATAAAACAATATCATTAGTGAAAACATGCACTAGGTACCATCTGCGGCGCAGTTGATGAGCTGGTTGATAGCACAATAGCCAACTGTAATACAGTTTATACAACACACTCCTAGGTGTCACTAGTGTGTCATGATTTTGCTAGATTTTGGACCGTGCCATTTTAATAATCTTATTACTGTTACACTTAGGTAGTCATTCATATCATGACTTAGTATCTCTTCATGTCTGTGCTAAGTCTGTGCTAAGTTAATAAATGCTGCTTCTGCTGTGATATACACAAAACCTTGCACATTTAAAAAAATTATATATATTATATTTCCACTCTTATCATGGGTGTGATTCTAACTGAATACCTACTAAAACATACTATGACTGAACATGGGGAACTCTCACCCTCTGTAATTGGTCCAACTGCTTCCATTTGCTTCAACGTGTTATCATAGGTTACTTATCCTTAATTGTGCCTATTTCAACCTTACACGGTCCATAATATGTTCGTGGTTATCTTTCTTGTGAGATATTTAATTTTTAAGCGAACCACTTTTCAAATAATGTGATACTGTTCTAGTTTCTGCTCCATCCTCCTGCTACCATTTACCTGTCAGTTGCTTTCTTACAGGTTCATGACTTGGAGTTTGCGCCCTCAGTGGAAGTAATTCTCAATGAAACACTGCCTGCCCTACAGAAGATAAAGGATGCAGGCAAGGCCCACTACATTGGCATCACCGGTTATCCTATTGCTTCATTGAGGTACACTAAAATGGGACGTAACGTTTTAGGAGTGGTGCAGTTGGTTAACTGTAACTTTAATAGAGTGACATAAAAGAGATGGTTTTTTAAAGGTGTCTCCACTCTTTTAGAATTGATCAGAGTGGTAGCTAGAACGCTGATAAAAGCAAATGTGCATGAGGCCCGCATGCATACCTGTTTTTCTAGCCGCCTCATTGTCACTGCCACACACAGTGCCAGTGGCAGTACTGCCAGTAGGGTCGAGACCAGGCAGTATGCATACTACAGTACAGGGATTGTTACTGATACTGTTAGATACAATAATGAAGTCCTACACAGGATCTAGAAATCTATTACATTTTTCGATGGGCCATAGTATAGCCCACAACCCACACCACCTAAAACAACCAGTGCTCTTCTAGACCCCCAGCTCTGTTCTTGTAGTAGACCCTTTGGATCAAGGATAGTTTGCAACTCTGCAAAATGTGTTTTTGCATATGTCCTAAACTAATCCAGGGTGCTAAACTTAGAACTAGGCTCGGGTCGACTCTTCTATGTATGATCATTTCTTGAATCTAGTTTCTACACCAATAATCCAACAATAATATACAAGGATCCATGATAAATAAAGCTCAATAGAGCTCCACAGTGTACACTGTACATGTATCAATTATCATCAGTGACGGTGTGAGTGGTTCTCTATCCATATTTAATGGTAGACAATATAGGCTCAGTTCTACATTATAATCACCTTTCATATGTCAAAATCATACATCATCACTATAACTCCTAACCTTACCCTTGTGTCTAACTGATTGATGCTAGGGCATGTGCAGGCTTTCCTGGTCTTTCTAGTTTAGTCCCTTTAGCTCCCCCCCCTCCCCGTAAATACACAAACATATATGCGTAATCTTCCTCGTCGTTATCATCTTCATCTGGAATTCATTGTCGCCCTACTCTAACTCTAAATATATAATTATGCTCATGCTAATACTCCCTCTTGAACTTTAGTTTCTAACTATAAACTTTAACCCCTACTAAATACGATCCTCTCCTTTATTGCAGATTAGGTGTCGTATAGTATTGATCCTTTACTACTATATTTGGGTAATGGGTGTATATAGTCTTTAACTTTTTGCTGCGTTATATGTAGTGTAAATATGCAGTGACCTTGCAAACATAAACATGTTAATCACCAGCTACATGCTTTGAATTGGATATAGTGTAATTGTGTCAATATCTTGCTGTCTAACATGCCTTCTTAATCCCCTGCAGGCCACCCATGGTAATGCAGAAAGCTGTTCCAAGTAGGCCTGCATTCGTACTACTACTGATTGTGTAAACAAGCAATGGCTTCTCTTCTACGACAAACCAAATTGGGCGAAACTAACTTGCATTTATCTGCTATTGGTTATGGTAATGTAGTTTAATTTATAGAGCTATACCATTCGTATAGCAATGACTATATAATCTCTATGTATAGTTATATTATTTATATATATATAGAAATAAATGTGTGTGTACATGCATGTGTATATGCGTGTGTGTATACATGGTGTGACTTCTATAAATGACAATATAGGTTTGCTAGGTTCAAACCGTTAATTTCAAATATTAATTACACTAGGATCTTGCATTGTGATTCATGTTAGTAATGTGACACATTTCCTGTGATAATAACAGTCTTTGAATTTAGCCGGGCATCCGACGCCCGAGACGTGTAGAAATCTCGGCGGGCATGTAAAATTTGCAGGCTCACTTGTCCGACGGGTTCCTGAAACATAAACTCATGAAACATTTTTTTAAAACACACAGCAACACGCACAGCACACATCACTGGACATTAGCTAAAGGTTTTTCATTTAAAATCAGGAAATGTTAACACCTGAAACGAATGGCATCTAGAAGTTGTCTGGCATACACTTCTTTACTCGTTCTTCCAAAAATATTCCTGCAAAATATTTGGGCAACTAGAATGTCATTTGGCCATGTACATTTTACAGAATATTTGCCTGAAAGGCAAGTGACTCAAAAAGTTGTTTGTGAAGACTGTAATAGCCCTGCCATATTACATATTGTGTCCATATAACAGCCAAAAGCGTTGTATTACAATACCGGCAATTGTGTCAATTAGTGTCTGGGCTTTTTGGTAAGTACTATCCCCAGCACTAGTCAGACCAGGAACCTTTTACATGCAAGGTACAAATAGTTTTTTGTATAAACACAGCAGTAGAGTCCAGATTATAAGTAGCATATATTTATAATTTTATTTGATTTGATTTAGGCAAGAGGAACGCTGTCTATTTGTCACTTGTTTATTTAACAATGACCACGGTTATCTGCAAAGATAGCATACATTCAGATACATGTGCGTCAATAATATCATCTACTAACTGTGATATGTTTCTGTTTGTGCAGGTGCTTCAGCCCTTGGTGGAGGATATGCAGATGTAAATGATGATGAATCAGTTAAGGTTGTAGGAGAAGCAATCAGCAGAGGTGTGAATTACATAGACACAGCACCATGGTACGGAGATGGCAGATCAGAGACGGTGCTGGGACAAGTAAATATGTCCTCATTAATACATAAATTAAAGCAGAGAGAAAGTGCGTACAATAACGGAAGTATGTAGAAAATAATAGTAGTATGTAGAGTTTTAAGACCTCATATCAAGAATCTTGAATAGTCTTTTTCCAGTGTCAGAAAAATATTAATGTATTTTGTATTTATAGTTTTCTGTTATAAAAGACTTCATTTTTAGCTCGCCTTGACATTGTCAAGATGAGCTATTGCTATGGGGTGTCGTACGTCCGTCCGTCCGTTCGTCCGTCCATCCATCCGTCGTATATCCGTCAACATTTGGCTACGGTCAACGATAACTCAAGAACCCGTTTTGACCCACATGTTTCAAATTGCATGTAGTTGTTACTCCTATGGGAGAGGTTTGAACGTCCTATTTTGGAGCACCCAGTCGACCTACATTCGAGCGCACGTCCACTTTTTGGCAAAAAATGGAAATGGCCGTAAGTCAGTTTAGGTTCAATGGATTTTGCTCATTTCTGGTATGTGAATGAATGAGGACTGGCCCCAAAACAAATCACACAAGTTCTGGTTTTTTTTTAAATTATGGCAAATTAGGTAGATTTTGGCAATTTCACGTATGCATTTCAGTGTCTGCCTAGCGTCAACGATAACTCAAGAAGCCTTTGACCGCACATGTTTGCAAATTGCATGCAGATTGTTACTCCTATGGAGAGGTTTGAACGTCCTATTTTGGAGGCATGCCAGTCGATCTACTTTCGCAGCCACATCCATTTTTGGCAAAAATGGAAATGGCCATTAAGTCAGTTCAGGTTCAACGGATTTTGCTCATTTCTAGTATGTGAATGAATAAGGACTGGCCCAAAACATATCACACGGGATTTTATTTTTTATTTTTAATTATGCAAATTGGGTAGATTTTGGCAATTTCACTATGCATTTCAGTGTCTGCCTACGTCAACGATAACTCAAGAACCGTTTGACCACATGTTTCAAATTGAATACAGTTGTTACTCCTATGGAGAGATTTGATCTTCCTATTTTGGAGCACGCCAGTCGACCTACTTTCGAGCCACGCCCACCTTTGGCAAAAATGAAAATGGCCATCTAAATTCATTCGATTTTGTTAAATTTTGGTATGTGAATGTGTAAGGCTAGCCCCAAAACAGTTGTTACTCCTATGGGAAAGATGACAACATCCTATTACATTTATTTCGTCTAACTGTTCAACAACTCACAAATCATACCTATATATGTGTAATATTGTGTTTTAGATTCTTTGTTACACTAATTTGACTGGAATATAATATTGTTTTTATTTGTGCGATATTCGAAAACCAAAATGGCGATCATTTAGGCATAGCACTAGCTCTAGTACTATAGCCCGCGTACAGTTGCCGCAGGCCTGCGGCAACTGTACGCGGGCTATAGTACTAGAGCTAGCATAGCACCATCTCTCGTCAAGCTTTCAGATTTTCAGATCTGAAACATTTATTTTCGCATCAAAACTTATGCATATATCATTGTCAAGAGTAATATAATGGGAATATGCTTATAATGGGAGTTCTCTCATATAATATATACTCTTGCTTATATATATCCCCCTCCCTCTTCTATCACACCCAAGGTGAGCTACAGTGTCATTGACACTTTTATTATTTTTTTTAATGACTGCTCCTTTAAGGATACACTCAAGCTTTTGCCACAGGCATTGCACTATGAAGAGTAAACGTATATTGACTCGATGAATCGAATCAATCACACGATTTATTTATAGATGAGATGTACCTCTATGCTCAAGCTGAAATCGAAACAGAGAAATTAACGTTTTCTACTTTCACAATGATCGCTATGTAATGCTATGTAACGAAGTATAAATGCTATTTTCGACCATGTAGCAATATCAACTACTTCCGGCAGTTGACAGTTTGTATAAGTGTTAGGCTGATTCTGGCGTAAAGAACAGGCTGGTTGTATTCTGTCTCTGACATCATCAGTAAATGTGTGTTTATAGGGCCAGCGCTCACTACACACGCATGTGGTCATCAAAAGCTCTGTAAGTTCACATACATTGGTATATGGAGAAATAAGCATGTACAGAGGTGGCACCTAGTGTTAACTATCGAATAAAAATGAAAGTGAAAAATCAATGAAATTTCTCGTAAAACCTTGAGTGTATCCTTAATGATGTTGGAAATATATATCCACAATCGCAAAAGGCATGTGAGTTGTATACGTTCATATTGTCCTGCATTTGTAATACTTTCTAAAGTGCAATTATCTTATTTCCAGGCTCTGAAAAACATTCCAAGAGATTCCTATTATATTGCTACCAAAGTCGGTCGATACAGTCCAGATATTCACAAAATGTTTGACTTCGGTGAAGAGCGACAAGGAAAAGTGTGGATGAGAGCCTAGAACGACTTGGCTTGCAGTACGTTGACATCATACAGGTGGGACAATACAGATATTTTTCTTGTATATATATATATATATATATATCAGAAGTAGATAATAGGGAAGGAGTGTGACTTCAATAAACAAGGGAAATTCGTCATTTACTAGCCTTAGAATACCTACGATATTACTACGCGTAACTCAACCAACTTGAGCTCAAATCGTACACAGTACATTCGCCTAGCATGCGTGCACACTACGGCTGCACCAAGCAGCTACTAACGACCTTGCGCCCTCGGCGATGCGGTGTGGCTCGCTGAGCTAATCTTTGACTTATTTACAGCTGCCTTTTGTTTCGAGTTAAGCGGTTTACTCATTCAGTTTGCTGTTGCAGTGAATCGATGTGTACGTTTAAGTGTATCTCCGGATTGCGGGTGTATACGAGGAAACGATTTGCAAATGCGAGCGAATGTACTCTGTACGATTTGAGCTCAAGTTGGTTGAGTTACGCGTAGTAAATGTAGGTATTATTAAGGCTAGTAAATGACGAATTTCCCTTGTTTATTGAAGTCACACTCCTTCTATTATCTACTCCTGTATATATATATATATATTGTTATTTATATATTATACATATATCATGTATCAGACATATATCATGTATATAGGTAATTCAGGAGGACAATATTATGTCACTGCTGAAAATATGTATATAATAGGGTTAATTTCAGTGATGTCATCCAGAGAAGTCAACCATGGTAGTGGCTGGTAAGGGGTTGAATAAAATAATATCATTAGTGAAAAAATGCACTAGGTACCATCTGCGGTGCAGTTGATGAGCTGGTTGATAGCACAATAGCGAACTGTAATACAGTTTATACAAACACTCCTAGGTGTCGCTAGTGTCATGATTTTGCTAGATTTTGGACCTTGCCATTTTAATAATCTTATTACTGTTACACTTAGGTAGTCATTCATATTATGACTTAGTATTCTCTCATGTCTGTGCTAAGTCAATAAGTGCTAAGTTAATAAATGCTGCTTCTGCTGTGATATACACAAAACTTGCACATTTAAAAATTTTATATATATTATATTTCCACTCTTATCATGGGTGTGATTCTAACTGAATACCTACTAAAACATACTATGACTGAACATGGGGAACTCTCACCCTCTGTAATTGGTCAACTGCTTCAATTTGCCTTCAACGTGTTAATCATAGGTTACTTATCCTTAGTTGTGCCTATTTTCAACCTTACACGACGTCCTTAATATGTTTCGTGGTTATCTTTCTTGTGAGATATTTAATTTTTAAGCGAACCACTTTCCAAATAATGTGATACTGTTATCTAAGTTTCTGCTCTAGCCTCCAGCTACCATTTACCTGGCAGTTGCTTTCTACAGGTTCATGACTTGGCGAGTTTGGCCACCCTCAGTGAAGTATCTCTCAATGAAACACTGCCTGCCCCTACAGAAGATAAAGGATGCAGCAAGGCGCACTACATTGGCATACCGGTTATCCTATTGCTTCATTGAGGTACACTAAAATGTGAACGTAATGCTTTAGGAGTGGTGCAGTTGGTTAACTGTAACTTTAATTGAGTGACATAAAAGAAAGTAACATAATGAGAGTTTATGAATGTTTCAGAGTAAATTTATTTTTCATATATAGTAAATGTGTGAATTGATTTTTTTCTTAAAACTAGATGTTTACCTCTGTTAAACTAACCAGCTATGATATATCTGTTGGTGGGTAGAGAGGTGATTGAAAGGAGTCAAGTGAAGATAGATGTCATACTATCCTACTGTCACTCAACTCTATTTGACAACTCTTTTGCTCAGCACATTTCTTACTTCCAGGTATTTATATAGGAAGTGGTTCTTATACAGATATATATATATATATATATATATATTATATATTATGTATATATATATATATATATATATATATATATATATATAATATTATTTTTATTTATTTATATATATATATAATATCCTATTGCAAATAAAATTCAATATATTTATAAAATATTAATATATTAATTATTTCAAATAATATATATAATTATATATATATGTGTGTGTTTGCAGTGACACCTGTAACTGGACTATGTGAAATTGCCTAACCTGTGTGACGCCTGTCTGTGATTGCCCCATCTAGAGTAAAGGTATCGGAATCATCAGTGCTGCCCCTCTGGGAATGGGGCTGTTGTCTGAGAGAGGACCTCCATCGTGGCATCCTGCCAGCCCTGAGCTGAAGCTGGCTTGTTCACAAGCTGTAGCATATTGTAAAGTGAGCAAATTGTACATACAACCACTCAGACATTAAAGTGCGTGCTAATAAACGCATGCACGTGCATGCTAATTGCTATTGATTATACATTCGGTGGTAGGGTTTTATAATGAAAAAATTCTTGTTAATGAAAAGAGTTCTCTTTAACATATTGTAGGCAGAAGACACTGATATATCACGACTAGCTCTGAAATTCAGTTTGACTCAAGCAGGAGATATTTCTACTACATTAGTTAGTATGCCTACGTAAGTATATATACCTGTATAGGAATATTACTGTTTGTATAACTATACATCTGGCTCTTTACTTGTTAGCATGCTTTTCCATCAGACTGATTCCTAGCTGTCTGCCTGCTTTTCGGTGTAGTTGTTTACGTCTGTCTCAAAATTACATCTCTGTTTCTCCTGGATATGTTGTTGTTCAGGGATGAGGTGATTAGCAGTTGCTATTAGTGTACATTATTGCTGTGATTCAACTTGATAGACCACCAGCTAAGAACGTTTTTCAACTCGGTCGGTAGCATATGGACCACAGCTGTTAGCAACTGCTGGCCTCAGTCTGCATTAGTTGGCAGCTATTCAACAAGACATGCGCATTCATTGGAAGTTTGCCCAGAAGGCAAACCTGTAGCAGCTGAGAGGGAAATAGCCACTACTTCACTGGCACGTTGGGATCTGATGTCTGTGCAGCTGAGCAGTGCAACAAATGTTGATTATTACTAATAATCACTCGTGATTCATTGCGAGTTGGGTTGCGTTAGGCCATGGGGTCACTGTGAGTGGCTAGTCATAGTTATTGTAATGCACCTGCTTGAAAACATTTGAGACATTGCCTTGATTTAGTTTTTGGAAAAAGGGTGAACAAATATCTCCTCAGGTGAATGTGTATCTAATGGATTATGTGTCTTGGGATATGGTATATTCCATATAAAATGTGCACTCTCCACTTTCGCTTTCGCTATGTTGCAGTATGCCTCCATGATCATGTGTTACTACTAAATTTAGATTCGAGCCATCCTGCTAGACAGTATAGTCTGTTTCCTAGTCTATAGCTCACGCAGTACTATCTGAGTGACGTTGAGCAACCTCTATCGGAGTTGGGGCATAGTCTGGACGGTTACTATAAGCCTGCTGGTAATAAGGCGGTCTATTCTTGTGTTTAGGCGATTGTGTATTGTACTCCTTATATTAACTTTTCATTTTGATGACTTCACTCGGCCATTTTACAATATTGTCGCTCATGTTTAATGCTTACTTACACTTAGTTTAGAGCAACTGACCAGGAATATTGAAGTAGAAGCTGAGCAGCTAACGAGCCACGAAATGAAAGTGATGCAGGATGTCATTGAAAGGTGATCTTGGTTTTCAGCAGAACCTTTTCCCTGTGATCAGTTTTAACTCACTGGGACACTAAATATCACAATTCTTTGATTGTGAAAATTTCCATATGGCAATATAAAGCACAATATGATTTTATTTAATTAATATTTATTTGATTTTTTACTTTTATTATAATTTTATACTGGTTTCTACAACTACTAAAAGCAATATAAGAAAATAAGGAACAAATCTGGCCCTATTGACCATATAAGAGTAGTGGTATATGTAAATCTGTAAGTCATGTGCAAGCATAGTTATTTTCTCATTAATAATTTCCATTTCAGATTTTTCAAACCGCCGCCAAACTCGTGGGAAGGTGTGGAATTGAAGAAGTATTGGTCCAAAATCAAACGCGACAGCACAACTTAATATTGACATCAGAAATTGCGTAATGATTTGTAGAGGAATCAAGTATGTTGCAAAAATTATACCCAGTTTATTTTCTTACTCAATAAACTAGGCATTGCCTTACTACGATATGACATGCTTCAGGTTGATTTAACGGCAGGGACTTGTCATCCATGTTGTTTCTCACAGTACTACATAATGTTTGTATGCAGATAGAGTTACAGACACTGAGACAGCCATCTACACGCGGACGCACGCGCACACACATAAACACACACATACACGCACACACATACACGCGCACGCACGTACGTACGCATGTACACTCATGTATAGACGTATGTATGCAAGCACGCACACATGCTCGCACACCCATACACACAGACGTACCGTGGAAAACAAAAGCTGTAAGAGTATGAAGCTATTAGTTGTTCCTTGTGTGCATAGTATACCTTGTGGCAGCGTGTTTTGAATACAACAGTTGTAAAAGATGAAATGTGTCGTGAGAGCTCATTCGTTGATGGTGAGACAAACAACATTTGCAGATAATAAGTATAAGTATATGATATGAATTTGTTATACACATCTTTCAAATGTATTACGTATTCGGCCATCACCACTATGATCCGTATAGTTTCGTCATCATATGGCAGTTGCTCAAACATAGTCGTACGTAGGGGCGTGTACAGGATTTGTACCAGGGGGGGGGGGTCTAACCGTAACCCAAACTTGGGAGCACGCAAAGTGGGGGTCTGGAAAAAATTTGCCCTCCCCCAGAAAATTTTTGAAATTTGACCCTTTTAGATGCGTTTTCTGCGCGAGCAGGGGGGTGGGTCCGGACCCCCTGAACACGCCCCTGGTAGGTGGCGCGGCATTTTGTGTGGGATGAGTCGCAATGCATCGCATTATCGCAGATTTGCCGTGACATACCGAGGCGCCAGATTGCGCCGAGTTGTTTACAGACGTCATGTGTGAAGTTTGGTCGGCACCCGGCCGCAGCATGCTGCCTGTCTGACGGCCTGGTGGGATTAGCAGGCGTACAGACGTGCCGACATGGTCAACACATCTTGCCCCGAGTCATGGGGCCAGCGCAACCCTCTTAGGATGCTGCAGGAATAGAAGGGGCGGTGGGTCTAAATTCGGTAAGCCGCGAAGGTGGCATTTAGCTAGGCTTCCAATGCAGGCATAAAGTGACGGCCAACTAATCTGTTGCAACGCGATATGCCTTTCTGGTCGGCACTTCTTTGGCTACCATCGATGTTTTAGTTTTCTCCGTGTAAATAATCTGTTTTGCGGTCCGTCTAGCTAATGTGTTCTGCGGAGGAATTGCTCGGACTAGCAGACGAAATAGATTTGAGTTTACCCAGCCTCTCAGATGCACCTGAATGCGTTTTATTATGATTGCTGTGTATGTGTACCTCCATTTCGGTATACTTTGCTATATTGTATGTCTAATGATTATAGGTAATGCGTTTATATGCGTAATACCAATTATTGTTACTATTTCAGTGTACGCTGATGTAGCAGATATTTTTGCAAGTGTACTTTTACTAGCTGCTCCTGTTATTTGCAAATGTCAATGTATGAAAGTTGAGACTATAGCTACTGATGAAAATTGCAAGATCTTAATATATAGGTGATGTTATATATCATTTATGTGTATTCGGTTATCTGTTTGATCTGTTAAGCGTATAACAAACTGCGGTTAGCAAGTAATATATAAAGAACCAATATTTGTTTTAATGCTTATACGACGTGACATTTATTTTTTAAAGAAACATCAATCTGTACAAGTTATTATGAAATAGTGGTATGATATGGCTAAAGTCAGTGCTACTACCTACATTCCGTTTTGATAATGATGCAGCGTTTCACAGGGCAGAATTTTAATCGTATTTACATGTAACATCTGCACTAATTGTAGATGTTTAACAGCTTCTGTTCTTGATCCCAAGCAGCCCGTAGGAACCATGACGTTGACATCCGCCTTCGTTCACCTCTAATCAACGCTACGCGTTGTTCTCTTGCGCGCGTGATTAACATTTTCACCAGTTATTCCGCTTTCTAAGTTCCTACAGCAATAAATATATTATCATTACGATAGAAACAAGATGCAATACGATACGTAGATTAAACCCAAATAATATTTACATCCAGGACCTATACTCGATATGTTTTCTGCTTGCTTTAAGACACATCATATGTACAGGTGCCGTTGACAGCCCGGAAACCAGCTGCAGGGCTTTCAGTACTGTTCCCGGGTGGTGCGTGATAGCGTATAAGTCTCAGTACAGTTGTACGGCACACCGATCACAGGTTAACGGTCTGGCTCCCCACCTAAACCGTCTTCGGCACTAGGCAGCGTGTGCTCAGGGTAACTGACGAGGGGGAAGGGCGTAGAGATGAACTGAGAGAAGTCGATTGGCTTTGGTTCGTAATCGTCGACCGGATGGTAGTCGGGCGGTTCATCCCCGTCTGCTTCGTTGCGTGGCACAACATCCGGTGTTCCGGCGGCTTCGCTGAGATCACGTCCGATCGAGGGGTCGCGACTGGGTCGGGTTGTCCGCGGGACGTCCATCGTGCCAATGTCCAGCCAGGGACAGTGTTCCTTCAGCAGGGACGGATCAACTGGCGGGACCTCTGTGTTCGTTTCCGTGCCGAGCGAATTGCTAGCTTCGACGTTCGACGATTGCACATGAACTCCTGTGAGTATAAAAGCGGAATGAATGTCAGCATTCGCAAATATTCCTCGCGGACAAGTACACCGGCATATGTCGATAGCAATTATACCAGTGATATCTCGCTCCGCTACTCGTACACGTATGTGGATGCGTAGCGTCGCCTTTAACGCGATACATTGTACAAGAACATCTCCAATTCAATGTGCGCACTGCGCTATTTTTACTCATGATCAGCTGGCCTGTATTTTACTTTCTAGCTATAGCTCTACATCCAGAGACTCTGTATGCCTTTAAGCCACTACAGCTCAGTGGTCGCTGAAAAGCTACCAAGCTGTTGAAACTCGCGATGAATAACATCTAAAACACTGCTCTGAATAACATCTAAAACACTGCTCTGAATAACATATAAAACACTGCTCTGAATAACATCTAAAACACTGCTCTGAATAACATCTAAAACACTGCTCGCGCGTTTACGAGCGCGTCGCGTGCGCGTGTGTGTGTGACTGTCTGTCTGTCTGTGTCGTGTGTGTGTGTGTGTGCGTGCGTGTGCGCGTGCGTGCGTGCGTGTGTGTATGCATGCGCGCGTGTGACCGACTAGTTTCAGTCCACTAATGACCGACGAACTGACCGCAGCGGGCAGATGGCCCAAACGCGCGAGCGTTTCCGCGAGAAATAAAAAATCGCGAGAAAGGAAGCTGTGAACACGTACGCCTGAGAACATGTGAAGCCTGCGAACCTTTGTGAATGCTGCAGTTGAGGGGCGCGATGAAGCGAGCCGCCGGCACGGGTTCGCCGCGGCTGTTCTCGATGTGAATCTCGAGTCCCTGGTTGTCGTCGGGCCGCCGCACCCAGGCGCGCACCGTGCTCTTGATGTTAAAGTTCACCCAGCCGCTCTCGCCGACCGGCACCATCTTGGAGCGCTTAACTGAAGCGATTCGCGACACCTCTCGTTAATACACGCGACGATTGCTGCTACTCGACTGCTTATTACAGATGCGCAGGAAATCGATTGTCAAACTTTGAAGGACACAAACACGCAGGAAGCGCGGCGTCAAACTTTGACATTTCAATTTCGGGTCCGTAATACCGAACGCGGTTACATCAGCCGATATAGACACTGACAGTCAGTCGCAGCGGTTTGAGTTCGCTACGCAGTTAGAACTATAGTGTGTTATAGTATTGTACAGTATATTATAACTACAGTTGGAAGTTAAGTGGAACTGGGAATAAACATAGTAAACAAACTCTATATACGAGCTCTACTACTGGTTAAAATATCGCATTGTTTTTTTACATGGCATGCACGTATCCGCGGTTATCGTTGTCTGTAGCTATGGCGTGTCTCGTGGAAGACTTACGCTTGGGTATGTTGAGCGGCATCATGTACTGCATGATGCTGATTCGGATCTTCTCCTGCCCGGACTCGTCCGCCTCGTCGGCCGACGCGTCTGCGATCGGGTCTCTAACTTCGGCGCGGTTCCGGTTCCGGTTCTTGCGTGTCTTGCGCGCCTTGCGACTCTTCCGCGGCCGCTGTCCGATCGTCGACCTGTAACCGCGCAGTAGAACATGCGTGATTGACGCGTGGTGTGAGACAGTGAGCGCGATCTTTCTATGTGCATCAAAACTTATGCATATATCATTGTCAAGAGTATATAATGGGAGATATGCTATATAATGGGAGTTCTCTCATATATATACTCTTGCTTTATATATCCCCCCTCCCTCTTCTATCACACCCAAGGTGAGCTACAGTGTCATTGACACTTTTATTATTTTTTTTAATGACTGCTCCTTTAAGGATACACTCAAGCTTTTGCACAGGCATTGCACTAATGAAGAGTAAACGTATATTGACCGATGAATCGAATCAATCACACGATTTATTTATAGATGAGATGTACCTCTATGCTCAAGCTGAAATCGAAACAGAGAAATTAACGTTTTCTACTTTTCACAATGATCGCTATGTAATGCTATGTAACGAAGTATAAATGCTATTTTCGACCATGTAGCAATATCAACTACTTCCGGCAGTTGACAGTTGTAGGAGTGTTGAGGCTGATTCTGGCGTAAAGAACAGGCTGGTTGTATTCTGTCTCTGACATCATCAGTAAATGTGTGTTTATAGGGCCACGGCTCACTACACACGCATGCGGGCAATCAAAAGCTCTGAAAGTTCACATGCATTGCTATATGGAGAAATAAGCATGTACAGAGGTGACACCTAGTGTTAACTATCGAATAAAAATGAAAGTGAAAAATCAATGAAATTTCTCGTAAAACCTTGAGTGTATCCATAAATGATGTTGGAAATAATATTCCACAATCGCAAAAGGCATGTCAGTTCTATACGTTCATATGTTCCTGCTTTTGTATATACTTGCTAAAGTGCAATTATCTTATTTTCCAGGCTCTGAAAAACATTCCAAGAGATTCCTATTATATTGCTACCAAAGTCGGTCGATACAGTCCAGATATTCACAAAATGTTTGACTTCGGTGAAGAGCGAACAAGGAAAAGTGTGGATGAGAGCCTAGAACGACTTGGCTTGCAATACGTTGACATCATACAGGTGGGACAATACAGATATTTTTTTTGTATATAAATATATATATATATCAGAAGTAGATAATAGGGAAGGAGTGTGACTTCAATAAACAAGGGAAATTCGTCATTTACTAGCCTTAGAATACCTACGATTTACTACGCGTAACTCAACCAACTTGAGCTCAAATCGTACACAGTACATTCGCCTAGCATCGTGCCACACTAGGCTGCACCAAGCAGCTACTAACGACTCTTGCGCCCTCGGCGATGCGGTGTGGCTCGCTGAGCTAATCTTTGACTTATTTACAGCTGCCTTTTGTTTCGAGTTAAGCGGTTTACTCATTCAGTTTGCTGGCAACATAATGGAAAATCGTGTCGTACGTTTTAGTCTGTATCTCCGGATTGCGGGTGTATACGAGGAAACGATTTCGCACAATGCTAGGCGAATGTACTCTGTACGATTTGAGCTCAAGTTGGTTGAGTTACGCGTAGTAAATCGTAGGTAATTATAAGGCTAGTAAATGACGAATTTCCCTTGTTTATTGAAGTCACACTCCTTCCCTATTATCTACTCCTGATATATATATATATATATGTTTATTTATTTATTTATATTCATGTATCAGAACATATATCATGTATATAGGTAATATCAGGAGTGACAATATTATGTCACTGCTGGAAATATGTATATAATAGGGTTAATTTCAGTGATGTCATCCAGAGAAGTCAACCATGGTAGTGTGGTAAGGGGTTGAATAAAATAATATCATTAGTGAAAACATGCACTAGGTACCATCTGCGGCGCAGTTGATGAGCTGGTTGATAGCACAATAGCCAACTGTAATACAGTTTATACAACACACTCCTAGGTGTCGCTAGTGTCATGATTTTGCTAGATTTTGGACCTTGCCATTTTAATAATCTTATTACTGTTACACTTAGGTAGTCATTCATATCATGACTTAGTATCTCTTCATGTCTGTGCTAAGTCTGTGCTAAGTTAATAAATGCTGCTTCTGCTGTGATATACACAAAACCTTGCACATTTAAAAATTTTATATATCTTATTTTTCCACTCTTATCATGGGTGTGATTCTAACTGAATACCTACTAAAACATACTATGACTGAACATGGGGAACTCTCACCCTCTGTAATTGGTCCAACTGCTTCCATTTGCTTCAACGTGTTATCATAGGTTACTTATCCTTAATTGTGCCTATTTCAACCTTACACGGTCCTTAATATGTTCGTGGTTATCTTTCTTGTGAGATATTTAATTTTTAAGCGAACCACTTTCAAATAATGTGATACTGTTATCTAGTTTCTGCTCACCTCCAGCTACCATTTACCTGGCAGTTGCTTTCTTACAGGTTCATGACTTGGAGTTTGCACCCCAGTGGAAGTAATTCTCAATGAAACACTGCCTGCCCTACAGAAAGATAAAGGATGCAGGCAAGGCCCACTACATTGGCATCACCGGTTATCCTATTGCTTCATTGAGGTACACTAAAATGGACGTAACGTTTAGAGTGGTGCAGTTGGTTAACTGTAACTTTAAATTGAGGACATAAAGAAAGCTAACATAATGAGATTTATGAATGTTTCAGATTAAATTTATTTTGTCATATATAGTAAATGTGTGAATTGATTTTTCTTTCTTAAAACTAGATGTTTACCTCTGTTAAATAACCAGCTAATGATATATCTGTGTGGTGGATAGAGAGGTGATTGAAAGGAGTCAAGTGAAGTAGATATCATACTATCCTACTGTCACTCAAACTCTATTTGACAACCTCTTTGCTGAGCACATTTCTTACTTCCAGGTATTTATATAGGAAGTGGTTCTTATACAGATTATATATATATATATATATAATATATATATATATGTATATATATATATATAATATATATATATATATATATAATATTTATTTATTTTATTTATATATATATATATATTCTATTGCAAATAAAATTCAATATATTTATAAATATTAATATATTAATTATTTCAATAATATATAATTATATATATATGTGTGTGTTTGCAGTGACACCTGTAACTGGACTATGTGAAATTGCCTAACCTGTGTGGACGGCCTGTCTGTGATTGCCCCATCCTAGAGTAAAGGTATCGGAATCATCAGTGCTGCTCCTCTGGGAATGGGGCTGTTGTCTGGAGAGAGGACCTCCATCGGGCATCCTGCTAGCCCTGAGCTGAAGCTGGCTTGTTCACAAGCTGTAGCATATTGTAAAGTGAGCAAATTTACATACAACCACTCAGACATTAAAGTGCGCGATAATAAACGCATGCACGTGCATGCTAATTGCTATTGATTATACATTCGGTGGTAGGGTTTTATAATGAAAAAATTCTTGTTAATGAAAAGAGTTCTCTTTAACATATTGTAGGCAGAAGACACTGATATATCACGACTAGCTCTGAAATTCAGTTTGACTCAAGCGGGAGATATTTCTACTACATTAGTTAGTATGCCTACGTAAGTATATTACACCTGTATACGCAATATTACTGTTTGTATAACTATACATCTGGCTCTTTACTTGTTAGCATGCTTTTCCATCAGACTGATTCCTAGCTGTCTTGCCTGCTTTTCGGTGTAGTTGTTTACGTCTGTCTCAAAATTACATCTCTGTTTCTCTCTGGATATGTTGTTGTTCATGGCATGAGGTGATTAGCAGTTGCTATTAGTGTACATTATTGCTGTGCATTCAACTTGATAGACCACCAGCCTAAGAACGTTTTTCAACTCGTCGGTAGCATATGGACCACAGCTGTTAGCAACTGCTGGCCTCACGTCTGCATTAGTTGGCAGCTATTCAACGAGACATGCGCATTCATTGGAAGTTTGCCCAGAAGGCAAACCTGTAGCAGCTGAGAGAGAAATAGCCACTACTTCACTGGCACGTTGGGGATCTGATGTCTTGTGCAGCTGAGCAGTGCAACAAATGTTGCATTATTACTAATAATCAGTCGTGATTCATTGCGAGTTGGGGTTGCGTTAGGCCATGGGGTCACTGTGAGTGGCTAGTCATAGTTATTGTAATGCACCTGCTTGAAAACATTTGAGACATTGCCTTGATTTAGTTTTTGGAAAAAGGCGTGAACAAATATCTCCTCAGGTGAATGTGTATCTAATGGATTATGTGTCTTGGGATATGGTATATTCCATATAAAATGTGCACTCGCCACTTTCGCTTTCAAATTTTTTAATGTTGCAGTATGCCTCCATGATCATGTGTTACTACTAAATTTAGATTCGAGCCGTCCTGCTAGACAGTATAGTCTGTTTCCTAGTCTATAGCTCACGCAGTACTATCTGAGTGACGTTGAGCAACCTCTATCGGAGTTGGGGCATAGTCTGGACGGTTACTATAAGCCTGCTGGTAATAGGCGGTCTATTTCTTGTGTTTAGGCGATTGTGTATTGTACTCCTTATATTAACTTTTCATTTGATGACTTCGACTCGGCCATTTTACAATATTGGCGCTCATGATTAAAGCTTACTTACACTTAGTTTAGAGCAACTGACCAGGAATATTGAAGTAGAAGCTGAGCAGCTAACGAGCCACGAAATGAAGTGATGCAGGATGTCATTGAAAGGTGATCTTGGTTTTCAGCAGAACCTTTTCCTGTGATCAGTTTCTAACTCACTGGGACACTAAATATCACAATTCTTTTATTGTGAAAATTTCCATATGGCAATATAAAGCACAAATGATTTTATTTAATTAATATTATTTGATTTTTTACTTTTATTATAATTTTATACTGGTTTCTACAACTACTAAAAGCAATATACAGAAAATAAGG